AAATTTTGGACTGATTTTTAAATTTACAAAGCAGAGAGTGACTTTAAATAATCTATTTTATCTGCATTAATACAGATACAACCGAACATGTTATCCGAAAAGGTATGGTCACCTATTGGAATATCGGACAATTCAATGATTGTCCTGAAAAGGTTGCCAATATTTAATAATTTGTTCTTGTAAATCTCTTTATATCAGGAAGTCGATCCAAGCCGAGTGATAAACCGAACAGTTGATGTTGGCGGAAATGTTGTCTCTACAGGCCTTGGAGCTTTGGAGCTATTAGGTAGACGAGCGATAGATGTGATTAATGAGAGGGTAAATTTGGTTTTCTTTGTACTTTTCGTTTTACTGTCTATGAACGAGGAGGTAGTATAAAGACTTACGTGATTTAAATTTTATCTATGGTAGGGCTTAATTCGATCATCAAGTTCTTCGTCAGAACGTTTGGTGAAGTTTGACCAGGTAAAGTGGTTTGCAATTATGCGCATGTATACTGGAAAAAGTGTATGCCAAGCCATACTCAAACCTGCAATAACATTTCAGATTAGCCATTTGACTGTCAAGCAATTATTCGAGTCTAACACAGGATCTGCTCATCTTGAGGTAAATATATGACAGCCAATGATTATTAGCTAATCACACAATGACTGAGAGTACTTTTTCATAGGCTATCAAATCCTTGACAGATGAAGCATTAGAAAAGTATGAAATTTTGTTAGCATCCGGGATAACTCCAGACGTTGAACAGATTGAACAAGTCGAGCGGAATTTGGTTAATGATGCAATACCTGACGCTGTGCAAGAAACTGACAATAGCGTGTTAGCGGCGCAAGCTGATTTAAAGCTTATGGTAAAGATTTACGCATGTTCAAGCCAATATAACTTACTGTGAAACCAAATAAATAATTCTGTTTTTCAGGTTGGATTATTGGAAAAGATGGAAATCAAAGCATCCGCAATAGTAAGACAGCTACGCACAATTACAAGAAAGTTGGGCAGCATCACACATAGCAATGTGGCGGCATTTGAAAATGGTAAGTCTTTGTATTAAATATAATATTTATATGTACATTTATTCTAATTCCTTGGTGAATTATTGTAACCAAGATTGGAAAGAGTTAGAGCAAGCTATTATGTGGGAGGAACCAGTAAACAAAAGAAGTCAAACTAAGGAATTTCTTGAAAGTTCTATCAGAGCAAAGTAAGGTTTTATTTTAATATTTTTGTCAGCATTCAAGTCATTAAGCACAAAAATTTTGCTGGTTATTCCTAGTTATGAAGCCGGTATCAGAGTTTTGGCCAACTTTGGAGAAAAGTCATGTGAACAGGTGAAGATATCTATACTAAATGATTGACTTCGCCAATATGACAAAGGACTGACTGTCTCTTATTACTGTATCTTATCATTGGCAGATGTTGCGATTGGCGGAAGCATTTCTCGTTCGAATTGCGGAGAACAGGTTGAATGACGATGAAGAAAAAAAAGTCAACCACGTAACTCCAGCAAAAATATCGGAATATCTTAGAGATTTTGCAGCAAAACTTTTAACAGTACGTGACGTTATTCCCAGTTGACTAGACATTAAATTTATATTTATCGCAGCCTCTGATAAGTATCTGATATTTAGGAGGTACATTTTGTTGCGGGAACTTACATCAAGACAATACAAGCAATTGTTACTCGTGGCAAGACCTTTAGCACAAGCTTTGAAACCGCAGACTGGGACATACTTGATCAGCAGGTATTAGGTCGCTATGATTTTGATTCAATTACCGCGCACCAAACATATCTGATATAGTATTCTAATAGGTGTTGATGGTGTATGAGCAACTCCATACTGATTCAGGGACAGTCATTAATTATATCCAACACGCTTCGAGCAGCATTTCGAATATATTGAAATTAATGGTAGCAGAGAGTTAAATATCAGGTCGACATTTAGATTTTAATTCAAAGTAATGACTACTATAGAAGCATTCATTAATCTTGGTGTATACTAGTTTATATCGACTTCCAACTTGATTACGACGATAAACGCATTCTGATAATCCATCATTTTAAGGACATTATAATGCCATACTTTTCTTTAATACTAGGGCATTGCTTTATAGAATTGTTAAACTGACAAAATACAAGTACGATTTTATCATTTGAATATAGACTGCAGCATACTTTAAATAAATAATGTTTGATTATACAGACTATTGCGAATGTGATTAAAGGCCATGCTGAATTCAGCGCACTAAATGAACGTGCCTTATGCAAAACATTTAAACTGTCTTGGATTTCCACAAGGCTATTTTCTAAGCTGTGTTCTTAATTAATGGTTTGAAGTTTGGTTAAGTTGGAACTTTATGACATATCTATCGTTTATCAGCGTACTAAAAAGTGTGTGTTATACCGGAAAGGAGAAGTTCTATCCGCGCGCGTTGGTTCACAAACGCAAATCTTTATGGAATTGATAAATGCATTCTTGTTATGACTGGAATGATCCCAAGACTCACGCAGATCCGTTATCACCAAATACTACACCATTCAATCTCAAGTTCGATTGGTCATTTTAATTAGAACTCGACGCGTACGAACTTGCGGGCAATCGACATTCGGATTGCAATACTGATATCATCAAAGAGATGGGTTTCGATAAATATATTCTCCGGAAAAGAAGCCTGTCAAGTCCTGTCAAAAATGCGCTGCTACTTTCTGGTAAATTTCTGTTGTTTGATGCTTTTTCGCATTAGTAAGATTCGTCATTCCTTGCTAGCACCACTAATTTCGTATTGTGCGATTTTCAGCCAATAGCAATGTTTCTAATAGTAAAATATCATCGTAGACATTAGCCTTCTATTTTTATTCTCTATTCAATTACGGACTGCCATATCTTCCTAATTCCATGAGCGAGTTTTTGCATTATAAAGGCAGAGATATTGATCAATCTGCTTTCGTAAGTGCTTTCCGCTTTTGCAAACGTGGTGGTGGACAGAAAGTGTGAAGCACGATATGGAGTGTTTTTATCTTCTTTTTGCAGTTGATGCGATCAGCTGAATCCCAGGGAGAAGGCGCAGTTAATGTGAATCCATCTGACAAGAATAGAGAAACGGATCATAGTGATAAAGAGGCTTATTACCACATCGTAAATGCAGAAGAGATGATTGATCCAGTAGCTATTAGGAAAAAAAGGTTGGTTATTATCAAGCGAGTTTTATGGTCACTTGACATAATTATCTAAATTTGATTATTCTTAGTTTGACAGATTTGGCGGTTGCTAACCACCATGTCGGTGCTCATCTCAAATGTATACGTCCAACCGATGATATATTCAACCCGGAAGATCCAAAGATACGCGAGGTTTGCTTGCCTTATTTATACAATTATTATTTGAATTCGTTGGTCATGACAACTCTTTTTCTTTGTATCCCAACCTTCATCATTGAAAAAGGACATTATTCGTATGATCATCCAATATTTATCTGATGAAGGATACACTGCTGCAAGAACCATCGTTTACGACGAAGCTAATGTCAAATGGCATGAAAGAGAAGAACGTGTCGTTGAAGCAAAGAGATTAAAGAAAGCAATATTGGGTAATGATAATGCTCGTCTACAATTGCGGGATTTATGAGTAGCAGTTACTGATGTTACGATGAATCAATTGCTGTACTCATAAATGTTATCATATTTTAGACGGTGACTGGACAGAAGTGGATAAACTATGTGCTAAACCTCTTCTCAGGAACCATAAAAGTTTTTTGTACGCTGTATACAAGCAACAGTATCTTGAATACATTGAACATCAAGAGATGCAAAAGGTGATTCAAAGTTTGAACTTATGATTATGTTTTTTGTTGTAGCCGACAAGTGCTAATGTTATTTTGCCCATCAACGTGCTTAGGCGTTTACGTTTTTAAATAAACG